AGCGCGAGTGTGCGCACGCCGCGGAGTCGCTGCCCTCTCCTCGCACCTGCTCAGGGCGTCTTGGGAGCCTGGACGCGTGAACAGGCTTGAAGTATGGCATGGTGCAGAGATGATTTCTGCCAAGAAGGTGCCCGCGATCGCGCTGTCCGCCGGGGTCAGTTTCGCCCTCCTGCCCTTCCTGTGCCTGGCGGTTTGGTGAGTTTTTTTAGGGGGCGGGGGGGGGGGGCTGGGGCTGGCTGGGACTGGGGGAGGGGAGGGCAGGCAAGGCGGAGGAGTGCCCCGCCACCGGCCCCTTTCTGACAACCTGTTTCTCCCAGGGCCCACCAGACCTCGCCTGGGTTGTAAGGCTTTTCTGTGACCGCGTAGACGCGGAGAGCACGCGGGGCGCCGGGTGCATGGAGCGTGTGGGCGCGGGGCTTCGTGTGCGCGGGGTGCGCTTTCCCGGACCCGATTTGTTCCCCGCATCCCCAGCTCCGGGCCCGGGGTCTTCTCTGGCTTGGGGCGAGCGACTCTGTCTCTAGAAGACAAACCTGTTTTCCACCTGTTCTGGGATCGATTCTTAAAATAATCTCCTCCGCCCCCGTTGAGTTTTTTTTTTTCCGCTTGCAGTTTAAACGAATCCCCAGGACAGAGCCAAAAAGAGGAGAGATTGTGCACAGAAAATTTCACCCGCATCCTGGACAGTTTGCTCGAAGGCTATGACAACAGGCTGCGCCCTGGATTTGGGGGTATGAGCGATCGCAGAAGCGCCGGGGTGTCCTGTCTGTCCCTCTCTGGGTCTGCCCGTGTGTCTGTCTGTGTGAATGTCATGAGGTGCGCCTCACGTGCAAACCTGAAAAAGCTCTCCCCGCTCCATCCCGCCTCGGTGAGACCTGTGACAAGCAGGCCGCCCCCATCCGTACTTTCCCATCTCCCTGCCCCCTCAGGAGCTTTTCTCACCCCCACACTAATTACCTCCGGGGACCTGCCTGCAGGGTGGAGGGGAACAGTCAGAACCGGGACTCAGGGCTTGGCTGCCTGGACGCGCTTGCCCAAGAATGGAGTTTCCCTGAGCCTGGCCACTTGTCTCAGAACAGCTGAGCCCAAGTCCCCTATCCTCCCACGTGTCGGTCCCTCTGCCAAACCCTTGGCCAGTGTTCTACCTAGGACGTGAATCTGGGGCACGGAGCTGCTTGCTCTGCTGGAGAACCCAGTCCCTTCCTCTTCTCTTCCACAGCGGGATGGTTGTTTTCTCTCTTTGGAAATGTGGCATTTGCTTTCCTCCCAAGACTTTGAAGCCAGAGGCGTTTCAGCCTGCTTTCCTGGACAAAATAGTTATGAGGACTTAATAGAGGCACGGCGCTTCACAGCACTGGTGCTCTGTTCCATATTCGTATTTCCTTTACACATATAAGTATTGGGGCCTGTGTGGCAAACCTTGGACTAGGCTCTAGGTTTACAGAAGTCCTCAGATATAGTGCCTGACCTCAAACAGCTTCTCAGCTCAGTTTAGTGAGGACAAGGTACTTGCTAGGGTCCCACTGGTAAAATTGGCCCAGGTTTTCTGACCTCAAAGTCCTTGTCCTTTCCAACATACTGGGCTAGTTACCCTTCAGCAAATGAGTTGAAGGCACAGATTCTGTCTTACAGGAACTCATATTCAAGTGGCAGTAACAACAATAATAACAACCGCTAATATTGTATTGATTTAATTAAATCTTCATATGGACCAGACGCTTTACAGGCATTACTCTGTTTAATCCTCACCATAATGCTTAAAAAAAACCCGTTATTCTCCCTGTTTTACAGATGAAGAAATCAAAACTTAGAAAGTTAGGTAACTGGTCCAAGTTCATAGTAAGTGGCAGGAGAAGGGTGGGAACCCAGGTCAGGTTGTTTATTTAGAAGATAAACCCATGCGGACTGGGATGGTGTCAGATCCCATGTGATAAGTATCCTATACAATTAGAAGCATGGAGGAACGTTATGCTTCCTTTTGAGGGTGGATGGGAGATGAGATGGTGGAAGAAGAGAGAAAAGTAAGAATGAGAAGTAAGACAGCTGAAGATATGAGGTGAAGTTGTGTGGCTCCAGATTGGAAAGAATCATTGGAGATAAAATAGACTCGGATGGAGTAGAGCTGGGTGAGTCTGTGGTGTGTATCTAGTTTCATTCTTCTTATTTAACAGATGAGGACACGGGAATCTAGAAAGGGAAAGTGATTTATATAGAGCCACACAAAGAATCGGTGATAGGCTGGAAGCAGGTCTACGGAGTCCCAAACCGTTTTTTTTTCCCCCCTGATTCTATTGAGAAGGCAATAGGAAGCCATTGAGGATATTAATTCAGTGTCTGCTTGTTGACAGTGCTTAAGATGGAGGAGAAGGATGAAATTTCCTTGGTTCTTGTCACGTTTCCTCTCCAGGGGTAGGTTGCCTGCACTGCGTTTGCCTCCATGCAAATCTGGAAAGAAACTTCGTTACAGAATCATTTGATTGGGAAATTAGCATTTTAGATTAAAAATAGTTTTTCAGAGACTATTTCTGATGATATGATACCATTTAAGACGCTATTATGCCAATAGAAGAGGGTGTATCTGTCCATAATGGTTTTAAACTTGACATTTCAAGTGAAGAAAAAATAACAGAAGCATCGAATCACATATATGTTAACTACTCGTCAGAGAATTGATGTGCCTGGACATAAGTGAAAGTGAAAAGTTATAATGGAATCAGTGTGGTTTTATTATAAATGTTGAAAGTTAAAATAATCTCTGCCCAGCTGGTTTTAACACAAGTTACAATTCAAAAGGTGGAAGGAGCCACTATAGCTGAATCCTTTTTACCATCTAGTCTCTCCCAAACATTATTTAGACAGTAAGTGAACACGATCTGTGTGAGCCATTACTGGGTTTTGGTTAGTTGCAACACTACAAGATGTCTCAAGGGCATTATTAATCATCTTACTTGTCACTGCTAAGTGGTCCCCATTACCCACCTGGAGATACTTTTATAGTTTTAGAGGAAGGAGTCCAGTTAACCTTACTTTGAATATTAGCAGTTGGCTAATCATTTATAAATTTACTACATAGCATTATGTCGTTTGGGTTTTTTTGTTATTTTTGGCCGCTATTCATAAATATTTGTGGTAGATGTGATTCATTTTTTAGAAGTGGGTCATTCTCTGTAATTGTGTAGTATTCCAAATGAGAGAAAGAAATAGTAATTCTCACCTGCAAAAGATGTGTTGTCTGTTTACATGAAGTTATAAATGTGCACCACTGAAAAGAGTGAGACCTCATTGTTAGCTCACACTGTTAGACACCACAAGTTTGATCCCTTCAGTGACATTGTGTACTTTGTGGAAAGTTTGGCATCTTAAAAATAAATCGAAAACAATCCAGATTTTGACCAGTATGCTATAAATATCGATTTACTTCCTGGTTCCTCTCATCCTGTGTCTGCTCTTTGTGGTGCGTTTACTTTATATCTGTTTATACAACTTTGCTATGTTCCATTTAAAATAAAGCAAAAGCAAAGATTTGAATTGAAATTGGATGGTTTGTGATTGCTCAGTAGGCCAGGCAGGGGTTGAAATAGATTTGGAAACTAAATTACATATTTTTAACTCAGCAGCACAGCTTGCCATCGGAAAATAAAAGGAACTGAGATGGTTTCCTTTTTTTCATCCCTCTAGAATCTCCTCTCCCTTGTCTCCTACATTCTCCCATTGGAGAAGAAAAGGGGGGAAAGAAAGAGGCAGGGCCAGAGAAGCTGGGTTGGGACTTCTGAAGAGTTGTCTTTCTTCAGCCTCTGGCAGATGGGCTGCTGTCTTCCCGGAGGAGCTTGAACCTGCTTAGAAGTGTCACACAGGGATCCCTTCTGTAAAGGAGTTAGAGTCCAGTCCCCTTTGCACCCGTCCACTTTCAACACTGTCATCAGCCTTCTTCTGAATGCATAGCTAAAGGCTATGGAGGTGGTTTAGAAAGCCTGCTTTTACCCATTTTCCATTTATTGAAGGGTTGCACAGCCTTTTGTGCATCCCAGTCTTTTGAGGCACATGACCTAGAACACTAAAGATTCCAATTCGAGATGATTACTTTGGTCATTTCTTACAACGGAGCACCAGAGTCCATCTTGTAAGATTGCTCACCAGCATAGTAGAACTTCCCATTCGTGGAGTTCTCCAGGGTTTTGAAAACATTTTCATGTATGGCATGTACTAAAATGATCACAAAAACACAGAGAAGAGGCAGGGCAGAGGAGAGGGTAAGAAAAATCCCATTGAATTACCCCCAAACCATTGGTAAGGGCACAACTCGCACCCTACTCTTCAAACCCGAATTAGGCAGTTGGTCTCTTGCTCTATCCATTTCTGAGTCTTTCTTGCATTGTCCTGTTTATCAAGAGTCACATTTTCCTAGAATAGACCTCCTTGTTACTAAATAGGTCCTTAAAATAAGCAAAACTAAATTTCCCCTAAAGGAGTGAAATGAGAACTTTTATTCTAAATCTTTAATAACATTTTTAAAGGAAACATGGAAAATTGCATACATGTAAGTTAAATTGGACTGTCCTTTCCCACACACATCAATTTGTTCTTGCAATGTTGCTGAATGATCTGTATTTCAATTTAAAAATTAAATGTATGTAGCATGTACTAGCTTTATTAATTGAATGTCAACAGAGAATCTATTTTTAAAAATATATAAGATGAAAAGAACACTTCAAGTCCACAAAGAAACATAAAACTTCACTCTCTTATCATTTCTCCCATTCATTCATTCACTCTTTCATTAAACCAGTGTATATTGTAAGACTGCTGTGTGTCAAGAACAGTGTTAGGTTTGTGATGATGTAATTCTGATCTGACACGAGCCCTTAAAGACTCTACAGTTAAGCAGTATATAGAGATAAAAATAACAAAGAAACAACAAAATAATTAAATGAAAATGCTCTGGGACAATCTAATAGCATGCTAAGAGAGGAAAAAGTTGGATGAGAGATCTATTTTAGGTTCAGCAGTCAAGGAAGTCTTTTAAACTGTGATCTTAAAAGGTTCTGGACATGGAAAGGGCAAGAGAGAAGTTATTCTTAGGCTGAACAAAAAAACAAGTGCAAAGGTCTGAAGGTAGATCACAGATGAGTGTGACTTAGGTAGCAAAAGGAGTCCAGTGTGCCTGCAGCCAGAAAGCAAGAGGAAGAACTTCACAGGATTCAGCGGGATGGTCAACAATGGCCAGGTCATACAAAGACTTTGGGAATCCTGTAAAGGAGGTTAGGTTTTTCTACTAGTGAACCTGGAAGCCAATGGAATTTCCTAAGTGGTGGGGATGACAATGACATGGTATGACTTAGATTGTAACATGTTCCTTCTGGTTGCTACATAAAGAAAGGCTTAGCGAGAGAGGTAAGAGAATTTTGGAAGCAAGAAGACCAGTGAAGAACCTTCTTTTTTTTTCTCTCTCTCTTTATTAATTTGCTTGGAATAGGTGGCAGATGTAGTTAAGATGGATGTATGTAAGTGGATAAAAATGAGATTTTTTTGAGATTTGATTCAACAACGAATTGGCAATTGACTTGACATGGATGGTTTTAAAAAGGGGGGAGGCTAAAAATTGATTTCTTGATTTTTGTTTTGGAAAATTGGACAAGGATGGTGTTATTTCAAGTTAGGAGGGGCTGCACAATTTCCTGTCTCATGAGCTCACACACTGGTGTCAGAGAGAATGTAAGTAAGAGAAATGAGT